ATACATGAATTGCTATATTCTACAGAAAATATATTGACTTTCAGATATCTGAAAGCCATATTAAGCAAGAAATTTAATAAGTATCCACTATTTAAAAATTCACTTTTGCTAATATTTCATTGTATACATATATAGTAGTGGCCTCGTCTGACACAAATTTAGTAACATCTCTTATTCATAAAACATTATTAGATTGAACTAGCTTTGTATAAGTTTGAAAAAAAGGCTATATCCTCAGAAGGATGTGGATTATAAAAAAGGAGGTGAAATACTGAAACCCAAGATTTTCTAAATTCTTAATGAATCTGGTCTATACAATATAACTTAAATATTTTTATCAAAAATATATTTTCAGAAAGTCTAACACATACACCTATACATGCACAAACTTGGTAGGTATAAAGCAAAACTAGAGACTTACGAATTATTTCCCAGTTTGAATTATCCATATTTTTATTTGACCTGCCTCTATTTACAATGACTCCAAAATCTGATTATGTAAACTATTTCCTTAAAAAAATTTACTCAAAATATCTGCTTTAAATTCATGTATTTTAAGACTAAAATTAGTTTCCTACTGTAGTTACACCAAAGAATATTTAAAATCTACAATGTTCTTTTTTAGGGCACTTATTGACTAAAATGAAGTAGATGCATTTCTCCCTATTTTTCTCAGTAAGTACAGCTAACACATCTAGACATTATATTTTAACAAATGTAAGACGATTCTAGAAAGTGGCAAGAAGAGAGATCTAGGGACCTGGGGACAAAGAGGAATGATGCAGCACTGAGTTCTGTGAGGTTTTTCTTAGCCCTCATATATCCCAAACTGGGTACTGGAATGGCCATCAACCAGGAAATACTGATGGGCACAAACAAAAACCACCCCAAGAAAGCCGTTCCTCTTTAGACAAAGGACCACAGTAGGGACAACTCAGCAGAACCAAAAACCTGTAAATAATAAATGCCTGAAGACAGCCGAACCCCATGGGAAAAGAAAAATACCCCATATCCATAGCTCTATAAGCCAAAGCCAGGATGCTAAGTTCAGACTTCCACCGTGACCAGCTGTAGGAAGGTTTTCCCATCCCACCCCTCTGAGCCCTCTGGGTGACAGCAGAGAAAACCAAGTAGAGAGGCATTTGTTGGACTTGAATCCCCACCTAGACATGAGAAGGCTCGCTCTCTCTCTCTCTCTTTCCTTTCCTGTGTAAGAAAAAGCTAAGTAGAGAGTCAGAACTTTTCAACCATTCAGAGGTAACAAGGCTTATCTCTTCTACGTTATCAATACAAGCACATGAGGAAGAATAACAAAGTGCCTCCCCTGCCAAGCAGGGTGATATCAGCCAAAGCCTACAAGGGACCTGAAATCCCACTTTCCCCATGATTAAGGAGATACCCTTCCAACCCAGAAGGTCAAAGGCAGCAAAGTAGGAAACCTGCTCCTGACATTAAAGTGGCATCAACCTTTCCCCAACTGTGCAGTGTCAGGAAGCCCATCAAAATCCATGGTTTAATCAAGATCCAAAGTGTCCTATGAAGTACCCAAAATACATAGGATATAATTTAAGCCACTCATCACACCAAGAATCAGGAAAGCCCCAACTTGAATTAGAAAAGATCACGAACAGACAGCAATGAGCTGACACCAATGTTAAAATTATTTGACAAGGATTTTAAGACAACCGTCATAAAATTTCTTATGTAAGTAATTATGAACATGATTGAAACATGAGGAAAAAAAGAAAAGTCTCAGCAAAGAAATACAAGATATAAAGAATTAAATAGTAATTTTAAAACTCCAAGATACAAAACTAATAAACAGCAAAGAACTGACTCAAAAGCATAATGGAAGGGACACAAAAAGAATCAGTAAACAAGATAGAATAAACATTATACAAACTGAAGAGCAGGAAGAAAACAGACTGAAGAAAAAAGGTAGAGAACAACGTGGACCTGTAGAACTATAACAACAAAAAACTTTGCTAAATAGCATGCTTGCCTTTTAGTTCAATCCGGCTATGAGACCTCCTAGTATATTTGGCTATAACTTATCTGGCCAAGATGAGATGAGAGAAAGTCAGCTGACCCTTTTACTCATGTGGTATAAAAAGAAGAGAGACCCTACCTGGAACAGAAGTAAAATCATCTGAAAAAAGTTTTCTTTGGAAGCACTATTTCCTATAAATGATCTTTTTAAACTGAATATGAGTTTTGAAGACTCAACCTTATTTTATGACTGTTAATAGTAAAAGCAGTATGACAATCATTATAATGCCACTTGGGATTTATACTGGTCTTTACTATGGAAAGCTCAAAGTGTATGTGAGGTCTTAGATGGTATCTCAAGTTATTGTTCTCATTAACAGACCAAGAAACTGAAACGGAGGTTCAGTTTCTTAGTCTATTATACCTTTGCAAAGGTATATGTCTCATTAGAGGGCCCAGAATAAGTCACGGTACAGGCAGAAAAAGAAAAACAAAGTTCTCTCAGTATTCAGTACTGCATCTTCCTATATATAAACACTGTAATTCCAAGTATGGGGCTGGTAAGTGTGGCTGTACACCACATAATTAGCCCTTGGGGAGTAGGTTGCATTATATTAGTTCATTCATTCATTCATTCAAAAATATTAAGTAAGTCCATACTATATGCCATATATTGCTTTAAGCACTGGGAAGTAAAGCTCCCAATTTCATAAAAATTACATTCTGGTGGGAGGAAAAAAATAACCAAGTCAAAACAAAATAAAAGGTGAATAAGGGCTAAGAGGAAGAGGAAAAAAAAAAAGCAAAGAAAGGTAGCTAGGAAATATTAAGCATTTACACAGTGTCTTATCTATTGCATGGTCAAGGAAAGCATCCACAAGAAGGTAGCATTTGAGCAAGTATTTCTTTGAAGGAAGCTAGAGTTCAGTGAGAGTTGCTAAAAGTATAATTTTCAAAAAGTTAAAATGTGACTCATATAAATACAAACCAAACACATGCCAAAGATTTATTCTACTCACTTATTAATAATTGAAAAACTTATATAAAGGCTGAAGTAATCAGATGTTGAGATTACTTCAAAAAGCATTTGAAGATATATAGATATAAAATTTAAATAATGGTGTGTTAGACTAAGAAAGAGTGCTAGGTTGGAGACAAAACTGGCCAATGTTCTACAGGGCAATAAAAAGCTTTTTTTTTTTTTTTAAGATTTTATTTATTTATTCATGAGAGACACAAACAGAGAGGCAGAGACCTAGGCAGAGGGAGAATCAGGCTTTCTGCGGGGAGCCTGATGCGGAATTGATCTCAGGACCCAGGATCATGACCTGAGCCAAAGGCAGACGCTCAACCACTGAGCCACCCAGGTGCCCCATGAAGAGCATTTTTGAAGTTATCTTTTCTAACAGAAATTACTTATATGTCTCCTGGGGAAAAAAAACATTAACTAATTAACATGTAATGTCAATATATCTGAGACTTCTAATCAGTACTAAACAGTGAATCAAATAAAGTTCATTCTCCTAAATAATCCAAAGTCTATGAAACAATCTCCCCATAACACACTGAAAGAACACAGCTCACCCTTTTCCCTATTTTCAAGTTTTGCTTTTGGCTTTTTTCCCTTTTTTTTTTTTTTACAGAACTTTGCAGATAGAAGAGCATTCCAGTCAGAGAGGCTGTGAATGAATCACAAACCATTTCCCTCCACTCACCACTCCAACAGCCAAGGAATGCCCTCCTCGACACAGACTCACACATTCACCTGGACCTTATTAAGTAAGAAGTTTGGTGTAAGTAAATAGCTGGAAAAATTGGAGAAGCCAGAAGATTTACATTGGATGGGGACTGAGAATTGAGGTCGGGAAATGATTTGATTTACATTTTTAAAAACATTACCTGCTGAAATAAAAACTCATTAGGGAGAAGAGCAAGGGTAGAGGCTGGAAGACCACTTAGGAGACCATTAAAATGATTGAGGCAAATAAACAAGTAAATATATAGTTTGTCAGATGTAAAAAGTGCTATGAGAAAAAACAAAACAGAATACAGGAAGGTTGCCAGGGATCTCAGCATTGTCTAGAAAGGTCTTCTCTAATAAGGTGATATTTGCACAGAGATCTGAATAATATAAAAAAGAAAACTATGCAGATAACTGAGGGAAGAGTGTTCCAGACATAGAGATAAGGCAAAATGACGGAGGAGAGTCAGGGAAAAGATGATGACTGCCTTGCAAACCATTTTAAGGACTTACTTGGCTTTTAATTTGGGTGAGATGAGAAGCCATGAAGGTTTAAGAGCAGAGAAAGGACATGCTCAGCTTTAAGTATTAGATCACAGTGGCTGCAATGTGGAGAATGGTCTGTAAGTGGGCAATGACAGAAGCAAAAAGATTAGTTAGAAGATCCTTTAGTATTCCAAGGGAGAAATAAGGATGGCTTAGAATAGTGCGTTAGCAGTGACCCTAAGGACAAACAGTCAAAATCTGGACATTTTGAAGGCAGAGCCAACAGGTTGTGAAAGGAACAGACATGGGGTAAATGTGGGTATCAGCCTTGGCAACTGAAAATACGCAGTTGCCATTCATTTACTGGGATGGGAAAGACTGAAGAAGAAACAAGTTTATTAAGGAAATTTGAGGTGAAGAGGGGGAGACATTGGTTACAATTTATGAAAAAGGTTAAATATCTCAGTTTGGAAGTTTGAGGATTCCAAACTCTTCATATGTAATTACAATAAGAAAAATCAGAATATCAATTTCTATGTTTTATCCATCACAAATAGTATCTTTCACCAAATTGAGTCTCAACTAACCCTCATTGCTTCTCACAGATTCATACTTTCCAAAATGGCATTTATCATCTTCATCCACTGATGGTTAATATTTTACATGCTGAAGCAAGCATCTGATCCTCCATAAAGTATTTATTAAACATCTTTTGAAAATATATTACATGCTTCCATAAAAGGCCTGCATATTAAATTAAATTAAAGCATTTCACAGGGTTTACCTGAAGTTCTTTGTATCTATCTTGAAAAGAAATGGCCTCTTGCTCTTTTTCTTTAAGAAAATCTTTTTCTAAGACACTGTGCTTTTCCATCAATGATTCCACATCCTAAAAGAAAAATCCAAGCATATAATACATTCAGTTTTTTCAATGAACACACCAGAAAATATATGGTAAGGAAAGAACTGATAGGAAGTATGGTTTAAAGCTCAACAGTATTACAGACTATATGCTCCACTCTCATTTCCAAACCTGTATTAACATTGATATAACACTGAAATTATTCACACTAATAAATGAATAGCATCTAAATTAACTGCAATCAGCACAAACTATCTCCACATATCTACCTATACTTTCTATAAATTTGCAAAGGTATTTTTATAGATATATTTATAGGAAAGAGAAATGAGAACATAAATAATTTACCAACATAGCTGTATATCTAAGTACTTTTGTCAAATATCCCAGGGAAAGTTTTGTCAACTTCCCATAGGAAAAAATCAATGTTACAAATCTTCTAATCTGTATAAGAAATATAATACTACCTGTTTCCAAAGTAAATAAAAATCAATCAGAAGAAAAGCATTAGAGGAAAAAAGTTTGGTAGAAGATGTTTATATCCTTAAAAGTACATATCTATAACTATCAATTGCTTATCAAAGAATTTTCTAAGTAAAAAACTCATAAAACTCATTTAAATCTATAGTCAAGGGAAGACAGCATCTTCTACTCATAAATTTTTAATCAGATATTGGGATTATTATTGGGATCCAATTTCAAGTCTATGTAATTCAAATATTTATGTTTTAGGCAAATGTAAATATACCTTTTTAATTCTCTGTTTTTCTTCTTCAGAAACTTTGAGTTTAATCTCCAGACTTGAAATTTTCTGCTGAAGCTGTATGTTTGATACATTGGCTCCAGGATCCTCAGAATCATCCACAAGGGCAATTGTTCCATTACTATTCTCATCATTTAAACCCAATGGAAAAAGTGAGATATCCAGATGAGTGTGTGTTGATTGCTGAATCTAAACCACATTAAAAAAAAAAAAATACACAAGAGGGGAAAGTTTACACTGTACCAATAATGAAAACATCCAAAGGGCACCAGAAACCACATTTGGAAATTAAGTTGTAGCAAAGGTTCTGAAATTATTTCACCCTTTAAGTAAATCAACAGAAGACCTCAAACTGTTACAACAACCTGATCTTTGCAACTAAGAAACAAAATTCCCTCTAAAATTTAGAGTCTAAAGCATTTATTGTTTTGCAAGCAAAGCACAAAAAAACTTAAAACATTTTCTCATGCTTATAAGCATATAATTAAGTATAGACACATCTGATATCCACCAGTTCTGAAATTTAGACAGCCAGAATTTGTATATTTTTAAACTGTAAATCAGAATTTGAAATTTATTAATAACCACTAATTGATCATCACCCACTCTCTAGTAAAGATAACAAGTGACTCAGTATTATGTACTGCACTTTGAAAATCCAGACTAATTGCAGCATCTAGCTCAATCCCTGGATCAGTAAGTATTTGAATAAATAAATCCTATGACTGCTGTCTTTTTGGTTTTTACTCTAAAGCCAAATGAAGACTGTAATACCTAAAATAAAAAATAATAAAAAAAAACAACCCAGGATAATCTTCCCTGAAAACAGAAATAATTATATTTTTGTAATTATTTTTCTTTTGAAGTTTTGAAGATTTTTCAAATGCAAATCTGAGTCAATTTTAATAAATGATACACTCAAACTATATTTTAATAACTATGGCTACTTAAATACTTTTCAATTATGCCACAAAACAAACATATTATTCACGTTTTTTTTAAATTCCAGATACTACCTTCAAAGTTAAAAAATCTACAAAAAATTATCTACAAGTTATCTACAAAAAATATTTAAGAAAAATAAGTAAAAAAAAAAAATCAGAAAAGCTTCATTTAAACCACCCAGTAATTTTTTAAGTCTGTAAACTTCACAGAAACATACACTTGTCTTTACCTGTGCTTTGGAAACAGTTTGACTGACAATGCTGTTGTCTGCATGTGTATTCTCTGGTGATGAAATGATGGGCTCAGAAGAGAGGCAGCCAACTGAAGGAGAGTGGTCATGGTCTAGTACAATCTCAGGAGAAGCTGGAGAAAGATGGACTCCAGATACTAAAGAAAAAATAAATAAAGGATTATCAAAGAGAAAGTAAAGGATAGGTTGAACAGAAGAAAGGGAGCAGAGGGAAGTGAAGGGGAAAAGAGTAATGGAAGGAAAAGCAATGAGACAAACAGAAGATTCTATAACTATTCCTCAGGGACCATTAGCTAATATCTAAAACTAGTATTTCTAAAGTTAACATGACATTTCCACATGAGACCCGAGCAACAAAACAACATAATAATGTCTTAGTGTTTATATACTAACACGTTACCATAAATAGGTTATTTCCAACTGAGAGAAAGTATTCAAATATATTACCCATCCACTCAGTTAAGAAAAACCACTAGTGTGCCTACTAATGCCCGGCACAGGTGCTAAGCATAGAGAAGATACAGTAAGCAAAACAGATGCATTCATGTACTCAATGACCTATGACACAGTAGGCAAGTCAAATCAATTAAATATGTATTATAATAAACTGAGCTAAGAGCAAGAATAATTACTTTAAAACAACTAATCCAGGGCATCTGGGTGGCTCAGTCGGTTAAGCATCTGACTCTTGATTTCCGCTAAGATCACCATGTCCAGGTCTTGAGATCGAGCCCACATCCAGCTCTATGCTCAGCAGGAACTCTGCTTGAGATTGTCTCCCTCTTTCCCTCTGCCCCTCCCCCCATGCTCATTCATGTGTGCGTGCGCATGCATGCATCTCTCTCTCAAATAAATAAAATCTTGAAAAATAAAATAAAATAAAATAGCTAACCAAACTGCCTCTGTGTTAACAATTTCTTTTGTAACAGGTTAAGGAATTTTCATGTTAAAATCAATTTTAGTTTGCTGAATTATTTCTATAAAAAAGTAATGTTGAAATAGAATCCTGTAATTAGTTTGACAAAAAAAGTACTATTAGATTGTGATTAGGTTCAAATATAAAGGTCATAAAAAGAAAGCCAACTGACAAGATGAAGACAAAAATACTAATAAGGGCAAAATAAAGGGATTATACTGATTATTACTATATTTTCAAATTTCTAAAAATTCAAACATATTTATATCATGTGTTTTAAAGTTTAAGAAGGATAACTAAATCATTTTTAGCAGTAATCTGTTTATATGTTTTGACTTTCTAAATTTTAAAGACCTTTATTCCACATTGGCACCAGTAGCAACATCAGCGAAGGTCTACCATAAATTCTGGAAGGCAGTTCACAATGGAAATTGCACTTTTCCCTAAAGAAAGACATTTATAAGGTCATTAGGTTTTTAAAAACTAAAGAATATATCAATTTTTGATTGGTACCTTATGGGTTCACTCAATTATCTTACACACACTATTAGTATGTTGCAATTCTGAATTTTTAAGATACTATGTGCCATACTGGATAAAGTATTCTATCTTGTCCCACATGCATTTCACTATTTTAACTAAAATACAGAAAACTGGGATTTCAATTCATGCTTGTACTCAATGTATCTTTTTCATAAATTTTTTTCTAATCTTCACTATTCTGTATGCTAACAGATTTCTCTAAAATGTCAAAATAGTCTAACTTCTAATTCTGAATTATAATTTATAACAAAAATATTCATAATGAACTTTTAAAGGCATGAAAATAAGTACTATACAGTAAGAGGGAATACAGCCTTGTGATTAACAGCATACAGTCCACACCATTTGTCATGCCAAGTATAAAACAATTGGCATGTTTAACTTCGCTCAGTTTTCTTGCCTGTAAAATTGGCATAGAGTTGCTAATGAGACTTGTCTAAAATATGTAAAACATTTAGCACTGTGCTTATATTATTTTCAGTATTATTTCAAAGATCATTAAAATTTGTTGGACAATTATGTTTATTTCTGGGCATAAAGGTTAAGTGTGACTACAATCCTGGGTTCAAGAAATTCTTAAAAATATCATTTTGATCTAAAACCTGAATATTTTAATATGTCTTTATGTCACTCATATTTGTAGCCATAATCTAAGACATCATATTGTACCAAGTTAAATTCTCATCCTAGGGCAGCCCGGGTGGCTCACTGGTTTAGCACCGCCTTCAGCCCAGGGCCTGATCCTGGAGACCCGGGATCAAGTTCCACATCGGGCTCCCTGCATGGAGCCTGCTTCTCCCTCTGCCTGTCTCTGTCTCTCTGTGTGTGTGTGTCTCTCATGAATAAATAAATAAAATCTTTAAAAAATTTTTAAAAATCTCCTCATCTTGTAACATTAAGTGGTCAAGTACATCATATCAGGAAAAGAAGAAGGGCAAGTGGGTAAAATAAGGGGAGAGAGGACAGGAGGAAAGAAAGGAAAGTGATACATAAGGGGAAGAGGAAGGGAGAGGTTGAGGGAGGAAAGTAGAAGAAAGGGACCTCACATTTGTGACCACAAACTCACATTTCCACTAGCCACCTTATCACACTTTCCCTTTATAAATAAATTTCTTGTCTTCAAATTATTTCTGTCTCCATTTTTTTCTTCCCCAATCCTCATCACTCCATTGGACTCATCATTAAAGATATTAATTTACTTTTCAGTTATTATTAATCAAATGAACACTTCTTATTTGATCATTCTTTAGTTCTGAGGAGCACTTGCTACTGGTGACCCTCCCTATTCCTAACTCTCTTCTTTTTGCACTTGTAACACTCTTAACTCCTAGATTTCCTCCTAATAGTTTGACTATTTTGTCCTTGTTTTCTTTTCAGATTCCCTTCTCCATCCTAAGTTTCACTGTTTCCTATACGCTCTGACTTTCCCAAGGTCTATATCATTACCACTTTCAAAATCCATCATTTAGATTATGACCTGTAAGCTAATGACACCTAAATTCACATCTTGAAGCACAAACTACTTGTAGACCTCCAGACCCATATACTCAAATAACTTCGAGACAGTTCCATTTTGCTGTCTAGTAGGTATGTCAAACTTACCAATCATCTTACATAAACTTGCTTTGCTTCATGTTTTCCATCTTAGTTAATAGTACCTCAAAGAACTATTTGCCCAAGCCAGAAATGATACCATTAGGTCCCAACCTCACTCACTCCAGTCACACTGTGCTACTAACAGTCCTAATTATACCATACTGCTTAATACCTCTGTGACCTCACAATACTGCCTAAGTAAAAGTCATAGCTGTATAGTCAAAAATGGATTCAAATTTAAACAATAACACTTTACTTTTCATATAGCCTTGGACAAATTACATAAACCCCTTTAAGCCTTTGTTTATTCTTCTGAAAATGGGGAAATAATAGCTCAAAACAAAGCTATACAACTTAATTTAAATGATGTATATAATAACTTCGTTTACCAGATAGGTACATGATAAATATTCAGTAAATGGAAGTTTTCACTGAAATTATCATTTGTTAGTATTCAAAACAAGGAATCTTTTCACCTGCTCCATTACTACCCAACCACAATAATTTAAATGTCCCACTATCAACATATGACAGAATTTCTAAAAAATAATCATAATAAAAAGATTATATGTAATAATGGGATATAAATAAAGCAATGATGAGGAAAAAATCTATAGTCATGAATATTTCAGTCAATTTTTTAAAAATCAATGAATTAAATTCCCAGCTCATAAATTAAAAAGAAAATAAAGAAAAATTAAAAAGCACAATAAAGAAAACAAGATAATGCAGAAGTAGATTAAGAAAAGTAAATCTATTAATTAAAATCCTGAATTTCCAAAAAAAATAAAATCCTGGATTTCTAAAAAAAATAAAATGTTTTAGGAAAGTACAAATATACAAAAAAATGACATGGGGAAAATAATTAAAACAGAACTTTTTTTGGTAATAAAATTCCTGTGCAGACTTCTAAGTAAATCTGAAAATTAGATAAAATAAACAATTTCCACAGAAATATAGCTTATAAAAGTTTTTTGATTAGAACTAAAAAAAAAAAAAAAAAAAACACTAAAAAAATAGACCAACTTCCTTTGGGAAAAAAGTTATCAGGCAACTACCCCACAGGTAAAGGATTCAAGAAAATTTCTACCAAAAATTAAAAGAATGGATAATCCAAATGCTTTAAAATTGTTTCTGAACATTGAAAGTAAAGGAAAATATCAAAATGTCATTAGCATTATGTAACATTAATAAAACAGATAGCTAAGCTTGATAAAGATAATACAAAAAGAATTAGTAGAGGTTTTAGAGTATCACTTATAAATGACAAAGTTGTCAATAAAATATTAGTAAGGAATCCAATACCATATTGAGAGGGTGACATGCAATAAGAAGTCAGATTTGTACAAGTAATGCAAGGCTGGGTCACTATTAAGGAATTCATTAACAAAACACTCCATATTAATATACTTGAAGAGAAAAATGATATGATTATTTCTAAGGCTCTGAAAATGCTTCTGATAAAACGTGAATACCCGTATCTGTTAAAAACACTCAAGAGGACAGAAACTGATGAACATTTTCTTAACATGATATAGGCCTTATCCTAAAGTCTGCATGTTAATTAACAGGGAAAAACTAGTTATTTCCTATATGAGCAGGAGCAAAACCAGGATGACTACTGTCTCCATGCCACTGAACACTCCACTAAGGGTATGAGCCAATGCAGTTAGACAAGAAAAATTAAATAGAAACATAAAAATAGAAAAAGGAGGAAAACTATTTCATGTTCCTACTAGCTAAAACAATACAGACATTCAGTAAAGTAGCAGGATATAAACTTAAACATAGCATAAGAAAAATAGCATTTACTTATGAAAACAGTTAACTATTTAGAGTATATAACAGTGAGAAGAATACTATTTTCCAGAGCAACAAAGAAGATAAAATACTTAGCTACAAATTTAACAGGAAATGTGACAAATACTTTAAAACACTTCTGAAACACTAGAGAGCACACATGAACAAATGAAAAGATCTCTTAGAAGTGGATAGGGAAACTAAACATCATAAAGATGTCAATCCTCCCTTAGTTTATTTGTAGTTCTAATATAATTCCAAGAAAAGTATCAAGAAGCTTTTTACAAATGAACCAGACAAATGGACATTAAACATCACGTGGAAAAGCAAAAATGCAAATACAAGCAGGAAAATGCTAAAATGAAAAAGTATAAAGAGGATACTACCCCTCGTTATAATATACTAAACTATATTAAAATATACTACTGATCTTATTAAGATATACTGTATTTTAAATTATATTATCACATATAAAAACTCTTTACAAATAAAAGAGTGTATTTATTTGGCACAGCAATAAATGGACCAGAAGAATATACCAGAAAGTCCAGAACAGACCCATGTATGTGTGAAACTTATATATATAATAAAAATGGCATTTCAAATCACTAAGGCAAAGATGGCATTATTAATAAACAGTGAAGGCACAACTGATTAGCCATTTGGGAAAAGCTGAAATTAGACTCATATCTCACCCTATAGACAAAAATAAAAACTCTGTATTGATCAGAGATCCAATTATTTTTAAAAATGAGACCATATAAGTATTAAGAGAAACTATGAATAAGTTCCTCTTTACCTTGGGGTAGAAAGGACTTTTTAATTATAATTTGATTCTAGATACAATAAAAGAAAAAAATTGACAAATATGACTATAGAATATGTAAACACTTTTTGGGTACTAAAATTATCTTCAATAATAATTTTAAAAACTGATAAAAAATATGTAGAATATGTATCACAGGTAAGGATTAATATTCCTAACATATCAAAAATGCTTAAAACTTGAGAGGAAAAAATTAGAAAAAAAAAGAGCTTACAGAATAATGGGCAAAATGTGAAGACAAAATGTGAACAGACACCAAAAATAAAATATATAAATAGTCCTTAAATATATGAAAAGACACAGACACATGCACCTACTCATTTGTCACAAATACAGGGAGAAGAAAGCCAAAACTAATATGATTGATAGTTGAAAGACAGGTGGAACGAAGTAGGAAGACAGAAGAAAGGAATGATGGAAATATCTCTTCTATGAGTGCAGCTTTTTAATATGGTTCTGATTCTTGGAATCATACTAATGTTTCACATATGCATTAAAATCAACAAGCAGGGGAAAAAGGGGATTGAACTCTAAAATAAAATACAAAGAGTAATAAATGAACTAAACCATATTTCAAATGAATAATCTTATCACACAATAAAATGTGGGAGGGGGTGGCGTGAAAGTCAAGAACTAACCCAAGTTAGTTTGGGACACAGTATTTTGACTATATGTCCT